CAGAGGAGGAATGGAGCCTTCCAAAGTTTTCCAGAAGACTCCATTCCACGTCTTTTGCACAAACCTATTACAAATAATAATGTGGAAACTACCTCTGGAAGTCTTTGGGAGCTACGTAAACATTTCGGGGTGGGGCCAGATTGTGCTTCTCTGCAGCAGAAGGTCTGAAAAATTCACAATCTGGGAGGAAGTCACTTCATCCTCACAGAAAGAAGAGTGAAGCATAACGGTGGTTCTGCCATGGTTTCTGGAATCTAGGATAGTCCCCCCAAAGTCCTGTAACTGTTTTATTACCTGTCTGCTTCAGGGGGTCAATAGCACGCCATATCTCATACCCCCTGGCTATCTCTGAGGAGGGACTCACCTTCTCACCCCTGACTGCAAAGACTCAGGAGCTTTGGACTGGTGGTCCAAGGATAAAGTGTCAAAGTCTGCAACAGGCAGTGGGCTGTTTTCAGAATCCAGCACCATCTCAGCATCTACAAAGAAAGGAGAACAAAGCTTCTGAACTTACATTCTTCCTGAAAGGGACAGAAGCACGGCCCCATGGCTTCTCTACATCAGACAGGCGGTGCCTCCAACTGGCCAGTGAATCTCCAATCCACGCAAGAGACACCAGGCATGGCGTCCTGTCAGTTGCATGGTTTTGTATCCAGTACCCCACAAAAATGGAGAGAGAGGGGCCCAGCAGGTATAGAAGCTGGGCTGGCAAACACGTGCCAAATTTGACCAGCCTCTGAGAGACGGGCCACAATGTCTGCAAAGGGGAAGGTGGGCGACGGGGTTTTGGAATTATTGCAGGACAGGTCAACATGATGTTGTTCTGACCATTTGTGGTCCTCTGAGTCAAGGGGGCGAGGCAGATCAAGCAAAACAGAACTTCTACCTGCAGGTCAGGAGCAAAGTGCCCCCCTGCCTGGCCCCTTCCCCTCTCCCCAAGACACGTGTGGCACGGGGCTCACCAAGCTTCCAGCCATAGGGGGTGTCCACATTAAAGCGCACGTTTGCCTCCTCTCCAGCAATCCTGGTGAGGACTTCTTTCACTTCGGTCTGCAGCGGGGTTGATGCTTTGTGCACCCCTAATTCCTGGAGGGTCAGTTTCTCTGGTGGCAAGAAGGGACCCGTGTAGCCAGCACACTCCAGCTGGGCCGTGGTGTTGATGTGCATCAGTTTGAGCCAGTAGTTTTTTCTGTGTTGGGTCCAATTTCCTGCAGGAATTTCAGAGGAAAAGCACGTTGGGATCTGAAGAAGGGGCTGGCAGGAAGTCCAGAATGCAGCCTCCCTGACGGTCATCTCACCTAAGCGACTCTGGGCGGCTCACCACGGTTACAAACAACAATCTAATAAAAAACCAAGTTAAAAACCCATATGCGAACATATAAAGCCGTCAACAACCACTTTAAACAAAATATATGTTTTTAAAACAAAAACTATGGCGCATATCATAAAATCTATGATACAGTATGCTTGTCAGGGAATTGCCACTCCTGCTGAATGTAGGCTAAGTTGTTAAGCAGAGTTTATCTTGACATTTCTCAGCAAGGCTGGCCTTGTATGTAACAAGCTATTTTCACCTGATAAATGCCAAATAACATATTAGCTCCACCCTAGAAATCTGCTGAGGAAACACTCCACTCCACTAAAAGGGTCGCATGGAACTGAGAACTGAGTGTTGGGTTGTAGCATCTGTACTTGGCAGTAACCCAGAGTCACACTCTCTGGCACCAAACAAGAGCCCGTTCACACCAATATGGCTTGTGCAGAATCATCTGTATCGAGCCACAAGATTTTGGATCTGTTTGAATTCAAACCAGGGTATCCAGGCCCTACGTTAGGACTCTGTTATCGCTAGTATTAAATGATTATTCCATTTCTCCTCTAAGGTATTCCGGCAAGGCTAGTGTCGCTGTAGGCTGCATTTTGGCTCCCGTCACCCCCAACCATACCTGGGAAAACACACTGGGGAAAAATTATTTATATGGAGGGTGCACAATTTGCTAGGAATCCCCCCAACCCCCAAGACAATGGGGCCTAGTGGTTCATTCCCAGTTCTATAGGTAATCCTCGCTAAATGACCATTTGTTTAACAACAGCTCAAAGTTACGATGGCCTCAAAAAAAGTGCTTTACAGCCTGTATTCTCACTTACGACTATCGCATGTGATCATGATTTGAAACCTTTTTTACAATGGTCGTTAAGCAAATCATGAGGTTGTTAAGTGAATTCTGGCAAAAAGCGTCCATTGGGGAAGATGGATTCGCTTAATGACCATGTGATTCACTTAACTACCATCATAAAAATGGTCATAAAATCAGGTCTGGTGATATGGTGACTCGCTTAATGATCTTCCCACTTAATGACCAATTTTCTGGTCCCTATTGTGGTCGTTAAGCGAAGATTACCTATACTCTCTGCTGGATGTGAAGTCACAGCCCAGAACTTTTGAGCCTGAGAAAACAGAGTAAACTCCCCCCTGGCCCCCAGAGTTCAATTCTTTATACCGAAGAAGTTTGAGAAAAACTTTGGCAGCAAAACTGTTTGGAAATGGACGGCCTCTGCTTGCTGCAGCACACACAGGGACCACACCAGGTCGACCAGCACCCAAGGATCTAGGCTGCCCAGATGGCCATCTAGAATGTGGTGGCTCTGGAAAAGAAGACAGAGAGGCGCTGGAGAAGAAATTGTCTTTTGGGGAGAATAAATCAAGGGAAGTTGTGCTTCCTGGAGCTGCGAGGGTTCCATCTGTGCAGGCTGCCAAAGAAAGGCTGGACAGCCATTCGGCTGGGAGGGTCTGAGGATTCCTGCCCTGGGCAGGGGGTTGGACTAGAAGAATCTTCCAGCCCTAGGACTCTATGACCTCCAAGGACCCTTCCAGCCCTAGGACTCTATGATTCTAACTCCAGACAGCCACAGTATTTACCTCGCAAGGCAAACTGCAAGAAGGCATGTGGATGAACGTGCATGCACACATCCATCGCCATCCTGCTAATCCCTTTTGGGGCACACAGAGTTACACAAAACGCAGAAAAGGAATACAAAACAGAAATTGAAGACATGAAATGAAGCTGAATAGAGTTTACCTCAACGCCTATATACCACTCAATTTTTTCTGCCCTTGCAAACCATCTGTGCTTCCTCTATAACCATATATATCCATACATCATTTTATAAAATGTTTTTTCGAGGTCTCTCCTTCTGAGGCTGTCATCACCTCCATCTAGCCTCAATTTTCTCAACCTTCCTTCTTTTCTCCACCCATTTCCTCTTCCTTTCTGCGCCGGTTTTGCAATCTGAGTCACATTCATTCCCTCTAGATGACCCACCACTTTAGAAATCGACCCACGTTTGTTCAGAACCATTCCTGACCACCTCTCTTAAAAGTCCCCCATTCCCCCTGCCTTCAGCTAACTTTTCTGTTTATCCTGACACACCCTCTTATTACAGACAGTTGTTTTTGCTTCTTTCGGTGAACCTTCACTCCTTGCAACAGATCGTTTCCTACCCACTGCCTGTCTGCCAGCCCTTGCACGTCTTAAAATGCTGCAATTTTTAATAAAACTTCCAGCAAGATAAAATACATTCACCCACTTGTCTGGTTCTTTGCCATTTTTGTATAACTTGCAATCACTTGCTCCATTTCCGAAGGCTTTCACGGCCGGAATACGATGGCTGCTGTGGGTCCTCCGGGCTGTGTGGCCATGTTCTGGAACTTCCAAACACGGCCACACAGCCCGGAAGACCCACACCAGCCATGCTCCATTTCCCTTGCCCTTTTTACACTGATTTTTATATCTATGCTCATGGTAGCTTCATACAATCTATCTCCTATTTGCTATAAACCACTCAGGTTCCCCATCTATAACACAGCATCATCTGTATAACACAGCTGTACATACATCCCCAACTCACATGCTACTAATGTTACCAAAGCATTCCTCATACGTTTCTCCACAGATACATTAAAACAGGGTTCTTCAACCCTGGCCGCTCCTTAAATTGGGGGACACATAACCCCACAGGGACCACTCAATAACCACAGTGCGGCCGCCGGTGGGCTTAGGACAA